GCTGCTCTCAGGCGCTCCTGTCGCTCCCGCCGCTCGCGCTCCGCGTCGTCGGCAGCCCGGCTGGCGCCCTGTGCGGAGGAGACGTGAGACGAGAGGGAGCGGGTCGGTAAAAAGCAGAGCGAGGCCCGTGGCAGTCTCCAGCGGCTTAGGGAAACGCCGAGGGCAGCCGTGCCCGACGCCAGCCTGGGCGGCAGTGTGCGTCTCCCAGGAGGATGGGGCACAGCGTGATGGCCTCCCTTTCCTACCGCCCTCACGCAGTACTGCCTCGGGGGCAGCTGGGTCCGCACTCCCACCCATGCCCCTCTATGAACACGCACTGGCAGGGTGGGGAAGTCCCGGCAAACCCTGGCAAGGCTGAGCTGCAGCAACAGCAGCCCCTGTGTGCACACAGCAGCCAGGAGCGGTGTGCATCAGGGCAGCACAGACCCAAGGGAACCCCTGGTTTCAGGGGGCGATGCCGTGAGGCAGGGCCCGTGTCCCCGCCCATGGGCTACACACACAAAGGGTTCAGGACACAGAGCCTCATGCACTGGCAGGCCACCTGAAGCAGCAACGCAGCACAGCTTGTGCCTCTGAGCTCAGGGCAGGCAGTGCCAGAGCAGGCTGACGGGAAGCCCCCGACATCCAGACCTGGACGGTGCAGCAGCCCCACAGCCGCCCTGACGCCGCCAGCCCCAGCCCGGCCTTACTGGCCCACCCTGCTACACCCGGGTCTCTGCTGGACAGTGCGGGCAGCTGGAGTGTACTCCTGCTTCGCCACAAACCTCTGCCATCTGTAAAGTTTCTGGTCTGTTTCAAACTGATAATTACACACAACAAACATGTAACAAAAAAGGACGTGTAAGTCCCACGAAAGCCGTAACTCTTGCAGTGGTGTCCAACTCTCTGAAGTCTTTGCTGTTGGATGTGTGCGCTCGCCAAAGAGAAAGTGACAAGTCACCCCACTGCACAAGTGCCCAGTGTGTTTCTCAAGCTGCTGGACCCAGGACTCGAACCATGGTGGGCCGTGTAGGAGTCCAGCGCTGTAACTACTGAGCCACCTGCTGGCCCTCAGTTACTGTCTTCTCTCACCACGTGGGCAGTCACACCACAACCTGTGAGAGGCTAGGGCACGAATGTGTGTGTGGTGAGACCTCGTCCGCCACGCACCATGCCTAGCCCTGCACAGCAAAGACCACCAAGCCCACATACCCACCCCAGATAGGCTGCCCAGCCAAGGACTCCCAACTTATACAGGCAGGCGTGTTTCATGAACCCACTGTGGGCAGCGGAGATCAAATGCAAGACCAGCTCGGCTCAGGGCCAGCGACGCTGAGGCAGCACCTCGCCAAGTCGCCCTGCCGGCCAGGCACGCCTCTCACAGGCAAAGTGGACGTCCGGCACTGGGGACGAGCACGAGCCCCGCAGCCCAGGCGAGCTGTGGAGGGAGGCCTCCAGCCTGGGCCACATCGTTCTGCCTGTGACCAGGCTTCTCACAGGCCACTGCCCACACGGCTCCTGTGGACCTCTGGAGTGAGGAAGACCTGCAGCCCAACGAGAGCTCTGACCTGGGCAGACCAGTGCTTCCAGACACTCCAGGGCCTCCCGTCCCGCACCGAGAAACCCACAGCCCGCTGTACCCCTCTCCCCAGGCTGAGCCACTCTTGGGAGTCCTGGTCCGCAAGCAGCCAGCCAGGCAGGCTCAGCCCTCACGGGCAGCACCTACTCCCCACACAGACGCGCCCCGACCTCTGCCGACCAGGCTGCTCCCACCGGAGCTCTGGGGAGCCAACAGCATGGCACTTACAAACTTGAGCATGTTCCAGTCAAATACGTAGTCGTAGGAGAAACCCTGGCGGTGGAAGAGATTCCTAAAGAGCTGTCTCAGGTACGAGTAGTCAGGCTTATCGTCAAAGCGCAGGGAGCGGCAGAAGTTCAGGTAGGTGGCAAACTCGGCTGTGAGACAGGACAGTGAAGCTAAGTGGCACTACCTCATGGGCAGACGCCAGCCGTACCGGCGACCTCCCGCCACTGTGAGCACCAAGGTGTCAGTGGCGGGATCGGAATCACCCCCGTTCTCTCTTAAAGAATTTACTTAATTATGAACTAGCTGTCTGCCTATTTATTTTAATCAGACCTGAAAGGGACTGAGTGAGAGAAACAGCGTGAGTGAGCAAGCTGTCAGGGCCCGAACTCGAACCAAAGTCGTCCGTGCGGGAGTCCAATGCCCTTAACTATGCCCCCTGCCAACCCACCACCACTCCTGTCCCTAAAAGCCTCACAGGGACAAAGGGAAGCTGAAGGCTGGAGACAGCAGGCTATGGGCACTCCAGGGATGCCCTGGGCGCCATGGGCCAGCGTGCTCAGCGAGCGTGGCAGGAAGGACACGAAGGCCACTGCTGTGCCCTGACACAGAAGTCCCCACCCGGACAGCGGCTCCCAACACGACACGGCAGGCACGCCATCTTGGGCGCGAGCAGCCGCACTTACAAGGGTAGCCTTTGCACAGCACCTCGATGGGCGTGGACATCTTCTTCTCGCTGATCCTCTCGTACTTCTGCCGCTTGGTAGCAGCCTTCAGCCCCTGCCAGGGCAGCGAGCCCAGGTTGAAGTACATCAGCACGTAGCCCAGGGACTCCAGGTCATCCCTTCGAGACTGCTCTGTAACAGGGGAGTTGCAAGGGATGAGAAGCATGCAGTCTGGTGCCACAGAGGCCAACTCAGGAGCCCCGGCCCACCAGGATGTCCCATGTGCTCCTGAGGAACCCCGACCTGCCTGCTGGCCGGAACCTGTCTGCTACAGAGGCATGGTGGCCGCCTCCAGACAGCGGTGGGCTGCCGGTGGCGAGCAAACTCACGCTTGGGACCCAGGTCCCCCAGGGCTGTGCTGCATGCAGCTGAGGGTATGCACCCCGGGGGGCTCACCGATCCCGAGATGCGTGTTGATAGAGGCATAGCGCGCGGTGCCCGTGAGGTTCTTGTTCTCGCGGTAGGGGATGTGCTGGTGGGTTCTTGCGTCTCGGTACTTCTTGGCCAGCCCAAAGTCGATGATGTAGACCAGGTTGCCCTTCTTCCCTAGCCCCATGAGGAAGTTATCGGGCTTCACGTCCCGGTGGATAAAGTTCTTGGAGTGGATGTACTCGATCCGGCTGATCTGTGGACAGAGAACAACGTGCAGGTTAGCCCAGAGTGTGCTCTGGAAGAGCTGCTCACGTGGCAGCAAGGGCCATGCTGGCAGCCGAACCCTCCGCCATCACTGGCTGGGGTGGGGTAGGCAGGGCAGGGCAGGGCAGGGCCGGGCCGGGCAGACTCAGAGAGGGGCAAGCATCAAGCCGGCCTCCTGCTGGCCCTCGTGGGATGCAGGTAACATTACAGCAGCCTGCTCTAGACCACGGCTGCACTAGCTCCACGCTCTTGCCCTGGTCTGCACCAGGACCTGCCCAGAAACAAAACATTGGGAGCCGAACGTTTGGCCCCGAGGGCGGAAAGCATGCTGCGCCGGCACTGGGCGAGTCTCCAGCCCAGGCAGGAGTCCTGTCCTAGGCCAGGCTGAACCCACTGTGTGCCAATGGAAGAGGGAAGAGAAGTGCCGACGCCCACCATGCATGCCCCTGCCCACGGCCTCGGCAGGCACATGGTCTGAGAGGCCCTCACCATCTGGTCGGCAAGCAGCAGCACAGTCTTGAGGCTGAACTTCCTGGAGCAGAAGTTGAAGAGGTCCTCCAGGCTTGGCCCCAACAGCTCCATCACCATGACGTTGTAGTCCCCCTCAGCCCCGCACCACCGGATACTGGGGATGCCCACTAGACAGAGATCAGAGCGGCGTCAGCCCGGCCTGGGACACCCCAGCTTGGGGCATGGTCCCAAGCACACACAGAGACAACACCCGGAGCCAGAGGCCCCAGTGCTACCTGTCCTCAGGGGCATGGCAACACGGACCACCAGACTATGCCCAGCAGGCAGCAGCTGGTGACACTCGGGAAAGGACCCAAGGCCAGTCACGGTGCAGGGTCCCAGGCTGGGGAGAGAGGACGTGTGGTAAGGAAGGGGCTCGAGGGGCTGTGGTCTGGCCGAGTGCAGCTAGAAGACACTCTGGAATACGAGAGGCAGCTCCCACGGGCTGGGTGAGAAAGAAAAATGTTGACGTATTCTGAAGCTGGCAGAACGACCTGAGATCAAAGTGAGAAGACGAAAACCTTCTGAGGACTGACGCTGCCACGCAAGGCTGAAATACAAACCTGGGACCAGCAGACGGCTAACAGTTACGTCGCTCGTACCCACTGACCCCGGGACGTGCCAGGTGTGTGTGCATGTGTGCCCCCCCGCCCCCACTGACCTCTCACTTCGTCCTTCACTTCAGTGAGTGCACACACCCTATGGCAAAAATCTCTCAAATGAAAAAATAAAGATCTGGAACCCCAGACAAGAGGAAGGGCACGTACCAATGCTAAAAGGCTCACGACCCACTTCTGAAGAGACCGCCCAGGGGTGCAGACCGTTTCCTATTTTAAAGCAGTAGCATTCTCCACGGAAGTAAAGGTGACGCCCTTAAGTTACGACGCGACGGGGCCTGGGCTCCACGGGCGGCCTCTACCTCCGCAGCTCACTCCTCCTCCGTCACCGCCTTGCCTGCGGAAACGTGCCCGCACTGGGTAACGCCAGGTGACGGGCACACCACGGCCTTCTCCCGTCACTCGGGTCATTTTGGCTTGCCTTTCCTGTCTAAAGCAGTGCTGTTTGGGCCCAGCCCCGTAACCTAGTGTTGAGGCAGCTAGACCCAACGCAGCCAAGCTTAGTTCAAATCCTGGCCCTGGCAGCTTCATCTGGTGCCTGTGAGCACATGCCCAGATCCCAACAAGAAGCAGAAATGGAGACGGGGTTGCAGAGGGACCCTGTCTCACCGGGGGTGTGCCTTTTCCCTCCTTTATCGAACACATGTGCCTTCCGGCCACTAAAAAAAGGTAAGGGCGTGGGAAGGAGGAAAAAGACCCAGACCCTAATATCTAAAGATGAAGACCATCCTGAGATGAAAAGCACACCAAGTTGCAAAGAGGAAGGCGACGTCGTGGCGCTTGTGAGTCTCAAGTGTGGCCGCAGCCTGGTTGGGGAAGGGGGAAGAAGCCCCACCTGGAGAAGAGCTGGCTGCAAACTCACCCACCCGCGACCTGAGGGGCACAGCTCACAGCTGCGAGCGCCGGGGCACTGGGTTTCAGGGAGCCTTTAGGCAGAGAGGAGATGGTGTGGGGTCTGGCCCTAGCAAGGCTTGAGCGGTGCTGGCCGGCTAGTGTCCCAGCTGGTGACCCTGCGTGGTGCCAGTCCACCTGGCCCAGCTGCTGTGTGGCACGTGGGCTCGCACAGCCCCCTCCCCTGCAGTATGCCGAGCCCACGTCTGTCTGAAGTTTCTCACATCCCCTTGGCCGACAGACACCCTGCCAGCTCGCTCCCGTGCCTCCCTGCCACGAGCTGCCTGTCCCGGGCACCTCTCCTTCTAGCTCCTGGGCCTTCTCCTCCTGCTCCAGGCTGCAGTGCCTCAGCACGAGCAACCAGACACTCAGAGGCCAGGGGGCTCAGGGCCTGGAACACAGCGACTCCGGGCTGGCGCTGCCCGCAGCTTAGCTCTGAGAGTTTCCCACAGCTGGAACGTTCCAGAGTCTTAAGCCGGTGGCTCCCTTCTTTAGAAGCGACTTCACACAGCGTGGCCCTTCACTCTTCTCTACAAAAGGCCAACTCTGCAGATTCTGACCCAAGGGCCAGTGTCACCTGGGGAGAATGGACATGTGGTGACACAGAGCAAGGTCAGCACTCGCTAATTCTGCCCAGTGTCCTCCCAGCTTTAAACACTCCGCACACGCATCTTGCCTGTCTTCCGGTTTGTGCTGAGATGCTCAGGGGGCGTGTGTGTCCTACTGCACGGTCAGCCATGTGAGACCCAGCGACCTTCCATACCACGCCACCTGGCTGACCCAGCTGACAGGCCAGTTTAGCTACGGCGAACAGTACTGTAGAGATGGCACTTCACACTGGTTCTTCACATAAGGAAACACACTTTTTTTTGGAGAGATTTTCCCTATAGGGTGCGTGCGCTCGCCAGACAGAAAGACAGAGACATAGAGATAGAAAGTGAGAAATCACCCCCCAGGGGGAATGGTCATGCCGCAATCCCTTCTCCTCCATTCTCCTCTCGGGATCTTGGGCATGCACGCACACGTGCTCGGCGTGAGATTTAAGCCACCGGGTCTGGGACGCGAACCGTGGTCGACTACGTGGGAGTCCAGCGACATAGCCATGATGCTAACTGCTGGTTCCCAGGAAACATACTTTTTTAACAGACAGAGACAGACAGACAGAAACAGGGAGCATATGCCCTCCAACGGGATGTGGCCACGCTGCAGTCCCTCCTCCTCGCCCTCTCGCAGGCACACACACACACACACACACGCACACGTGGTGTTTTTAAACCGCAAGGGCCAGGATTTAAACCGCATGTGAGACCTGGCTCCATGAATCACCAGGCCATAGGGCGGGCCCCAAAAGAGCTGATTTTACATTTTATCTTTAGTAACCACCTAGCCAAGAAGCCTGGGGTTTCCAGGATCCCAGAGAGGGGACAGGATGACAACTGGAGGAAGTGGCTCTTCACGATCTGGGTATGGGCTCAAGATAGGGTGTGGCTCCCTGCCGGGACTCGTGGCACTGTCAGAGGATGTTGCTGGTGAAGGCCACCAAGGATATGATCGTGGAGCCTACGAGCCCCTGCACCTCACACAGATGCCAAGGCTGAGGAACTCTGCCCTGAAATGTCAGCGACGTGCCTCTGTTCACTGCCCATTTACCAGTGCCCACCCAGGGCTTTTCAAGGACCATTTCTCTTCCCTCTGCCTTCAAGCATCCTGGGCTTGCAGGTTCTCATGGGGACGTTCTCCCTGGAGCCCACAGCCAGCCCTCAATCTCGGGTCAGCACAGAGTACAATGGTGAGCTGCTGTACAGGGGGACCAGGTCCCACGTGGCTGACAGCAAAGCGAGTCCCAGCCCTGGAGCCTTGAGGAGCACGCTAAGTACGTGTGTGCACAGGCCCCACATCCTGATGGGATGGGGAAATGGAGGAAAACTTCAGAGTGTGACCAAACCCACACCAGGGGGGTAGGGGTGGTACTTCCTTTTTTTTTCCTGGTGAGTGCATGTGCTTTTTAGTAACAAAAAAATGAAACTTAAAAAAATAGAAGATTCTGGGAACCAGCAGTTAGCGTAATGGCTATGTCGCTGGACTCCCACGTAGTCGACTGCGGTTCGTGTCCCGGACCCGGTGGTTTAAAACTCACGCCGGGCGTGTGTGCGTGCGTGCCCAAGATCCCGAGATGAGAATGGAGGAGAAGGGATTGCGGCGTGACCATCTCCCCTGGGGGGTGATTTCTCGCTTTCTGTCTCTATGTCTCTCTCTGTCTGTCTGGCGAGCGCACGCACCCTACAGTGAAAATCTCTCCAAAAAAAAAAAAAAGAAGATTCCTTCGGAAAAACAAAAATAAGATCTTGAAATGTGTAGCAGTAAGCTCACTGACTTACCCGACCCGGCACCTGGCTCTTCCCAGCATGAGCCGGGCCGTGTCACACCTGCCTCCTTGTCACACCTGCCTCCTTGTCACACCTGGAAACAATGGCAGGCAGGCCTCTCACCTGCCAAAAAGTCCAATCAGCAGCCCTCCTTTCCTCAGACAAACCCAGCAGAGATGCTGAGGGAGGGAGGTCACACCCCCACCCCACAGGCTCTGGGCTGGTAGGTTTCCCACAGGGAAGAGGCCCGGCTAGGCCTCCAAGAGCGCTGTGGTCCAACTCGACTCCCTGGTGCCCTGTCCCTGCATTCTGACCTCCAGGATAAGCAGCTCCTGCTGTGTCAGCCAGAGCACCCCAAGAGCCCAACTCTGGAGACAGGACAGAGCGCCCCGCTCCCACATGTGGCCTATAACCTGACACCAGGTCCCCGAATTCCAAATCCTGTCCTGCTGAGAAGGCTGGAGCCCCGAGTCTGAAGTGACTCCCCAAGCTGCGAGCGAGGTGTGACCCAGCAGAGGGCGCAGCCAGGGACCGCACACCAGGGCAGCCCAGCGCGTCGTCACCACCTGGGCTTCCGCGTCCCCACCGTGGCACAGCCGTGGCGCACAGGCCACCGGCGTCAGCACACGCCACTCCAGCGGCGTCTGTGCAGAAGCACAAGGTTGCTTCTCTGCGCCGAGGGAAGTCTTCTGAGCAAGGCCGTGATCAAGGGCACGGAGCAACACTTCCTCTTCCCCACAGGACCCGGAGAACAAGCTTCGCGGCATACCCTTCCTCACCACACAGACTCGGGGTCCCCCCTGCCGGTCCCGGACCTACCTCCTCCTTGCATCATCTTGTAGATCTTGCTCTCGATGTGGAGTTGAGGATGCTTGGTCTTCACACATTCAAGCTTGATGGCCACTTCTTCCCCGGCAGCGATGTCGGTACCTTGGCGGGGAGAGAACAGACCGGCATCGCGCCCGTCAGTCGGGCGTCCCACCTGCCCCGCTGCAGCCCCGTGGGCGCTGCCACAGGCTACATGCCCTGCAGGATGCTATTCGCTCACACGGCAGTATCGGAGGGCACAGCAGGTCCCCTGGGACTCCATCACCTACTTCCGTGTGCACCCAGAGGACCTGGAGACAGGCCCAGGCAGCTCAGTTCTCTTTACAGACCTCGGCTTCCTGCAGGAAGTACAGGCCAGCAGACCCCAGTGGAGCTGGTGACCATGTCCCTGTCCCTCCACATTAACAGAGGCTGCTTGAGGCCACCTCTGGAGTGAGGCGGGGTTTTCTGTCCGTTCACAGTTTTTTTAAGGGACCAGCAATGGCATAATGGTTATTTTGCTAGACTCCCACATAGTTGACTGTGGTTTGAGTCCCAGACCTCACAACCTAAAACTCATGCCAGGCACATGCAGCGCGTCCAAAATCCCAAGAGGAGATGGGAAGGGAGGGACTGTGGTGTGGCCACCCCCTGGGGGTGATTTCTCGCTGGCTGTCTCTAGTGAGCGCATGCACCTTACGGCAAAAACAGCTCACGCACTCATTTACTTGATTTTTGGGCTACCAGGTGGAATCCAGAACCTTAACCACCATGCCACCTGTCGGTCCAGAGGCCAGACACCAACACCCTGTCGCCAGCCTCACTCACCAGGTCTGGCACACCGTGTGACCCAGGACCACTTCTAGCCAAATCACTGCAGGCCTGGCTGAGGCCCTCATCAGGTCGAAGACGCGCTTCTCCCTTCCCGGGGACACTGAACCGGAAGAACGGACAGCCTAAAAGCCCTTGCACCACCTCTGCAGCAGGCAGCCTTTCTGACCTGTGCTGAACCTGGAGCCCATCTGCTGGCACCACCCCTCCACATTAACAGAGGCTGCTTGAGGCCACCTCTGGAGTGAGGCGGGGTTTTCTGTCCGTTCACAGTTTTTTTAAGGGACCAGCAATGGCATAATGGTTATTTTGCTAGACTCCCACATAGTTGACTGTGGTTTGAGTCCCAGACCTCACAACCTAAAACTCATGCCAGGCACATGCAGCGCGTCCAAAATCCCAAGAGGAGATGGGAAGGGAGGGACTGTGGTGTGGCCACCCCCTGGGGGTGATTTCTCGCTGGCTGTCTCTAGTGAGCGCATGCACCTTACGGCAAAAACAGCTCACGCACTCATTTACTTGATTTTTGGGCTACCAGGTGGAATCCAGAACCTTAACCACCATGCCACCTGTCGGTCCAGAGGCCAGACACCAACACCCTGTCGCCAGCCTCACTCACCAGGTCTGGCACACCGTGTGACCCAGGACCACTTCTAGCCAAATCACTGCAGGCCTGGCTGAGGCCCTCATCAGGTCGAAGACGCGCTTCTCCCTTCCCGGGGACACTGAACCGGAAGAACGGACAGCCTAAAAGCCCTTGCACCACCTCTGCAGCAGGCAGCCTTTCTGACCTGTGCTGAACCTGGAGCCCATCTGCTGGCACCATGACCATCAGCCCGCGCGAGTCCAGAGGCCAAGTCTGTTTTATCTCGAGATCATCTGTCCCGGCTCCCCTCTCCCTGAAGGCTCCTGCTCAGGGTCAAGGCCCCGTACCTGCCAGCCTCTCAGCAGTGCCGCCTGCACAGAACTGATGCCAGCTCTGGCGGCCACTTGCCCTCGACAGCCCAGTTTCCCTACGGGCCCGGGCCAACAGGGAGAGCTGTCCTGGGCTGCACACAGAGCTGTGGAGAGGAACGGGTTAAGGGTCACAGGCACTTGGGTCCACACAAGGACCACGGAGGGGCAGTGGGCAGAGGAACAGCTGGCTGCTGATGCCCGCCACGCCCAGGGACACCAAGAACCAAGACACCGACGGATATCTGAGACAAGAGGTGCCACCTCAGCCGGCCAGAGCCCTGAGCCCACTGTCACCGCTGCAGCCTGTGGGAGACCACCACCGAGTACCCCAGGCCCAGCACCTTCCAGCCCAGAGACCCTGGGGCACTCAGAGGGCAGCCAGGGGACGCACTGCACTCCTGCTCACAGCTGGGACAGTCTCTCCATTACGAGAGGGGACGTCATCACGAGTGGCCTGGGCACAGAGAAGAAACTCGGAGTTCACTTATGGACCTGGACTCTGCACCCAACTCGCCAGCTGGAAGGGGCCATGACGCACCTGGGCACTCTGCCAGTGGCTCCTGCACGCCCCAGCAAGGTTGGCATGGTGCCCACATCGTGGCCCAGTGCTGAGACCCTGTGGCACCCTTGAGAAGCGAGGACCCATCCAGTCCCGCTCCTCTGTGGCCACGAGAGCTAGGTTTGACAGTCCAACTTGCAACACGAGCAGTCCGAGGGACCAAGGGACAAGTGGCCCCCGGAACTCAGGAACACACGAGTTACGTCGTCTGAGTCCAGAATGCGCAGGGCTGGCAAACAGCAGGCCTCCTGCAGGACCACGCCTGAAGGCTGCCCAGCCTGCTGAGCCCAGAGCGGCAGCCACCTCACGCCAATGGAGGTGGCAGAGCTGAAGGTCTGGGTACCCACCACCCTGACTCCTCCACAAGGCCACTTTTTGAAAGCAGGTTGGCTGCTCTGCGGCAGCAGGCCTGTGCCACCGCCCTGTGGGCAGCACCCCAAACCCTCAGGGTCTAGGCCTCCATCACCAAGAGTCCACGCAGGGACACGGGCGACCCTGCCAACAACGTGGCACCGCTGCAACGCTCCCATCTCATAGTATAGACACCCCAGTCTGCACGCAACGGCGACGTGGCCAGGCCTTTCCCACAGACAGGCAGAGAGCCTATAGGACATGGAGGGCGAAGGAGCCCCGAGCAGAGCAGCCGCCTGCTCCCACTGAGGAAGCCGCGTTTCCACTCTAAGGGTCTCCTCCCCTGCGCAGTGACAGCCGTGTTCAGGCACAGACCAATAACTGTCCTAGGAAAGGACGTGACATCCCTCGAGCCTAGCAGACAGCAGATGGTGGGGCGGGCAAGCTGAGGTCAGAGCGCAGTCCCACCCCAAGATAAGGCAGCCACCCCATGGGTTGTGTGGGGCTGGCATCGCAGCAGGCACCATGTTGTCAACAAAGGGAGCCGCCCTAGGACAGCAGGGCAAAGGCCACCGCATGGGGCGACCACGGAAATGCAGCATGGGATGCACTGAGACCTCTCACCAGAAATGCTCACAACGAACTCTAAGGCAAGTGGGTGCCCCGGCCCCAGCCCTGCAGGGAGGCCTGGAGATGGGCTGCCACCGCCTTGAGAACCATAGCACCCCCAGAGCCCGGGCTCACACACAGGGAGGGGACAGCTGCGGACAGGCACGAGGTTGAGCACTGCCACCCAGCCCACCTACGACACCAGTGCCCCAACACAGGGCATGCACACGGTGCCCCAGCAGCCAGCCCATGCTAAGGATGGAGACTAGACTTCAGGGTCCCACAGCAATCTGAGCTCAGTACTCGTGCCTTCTGAGGCCATCCTGTGAAGGGCTACTTGGAGAAGGATGTGGAGAGCCGGGCCACCAGGTGGGGCAGGCCTGTATGTGTCCTTGGTGCAGGGCACGCTGCCTGCCAGGACAGCCTTCCACTCCTCCCACTTCCCCACACTCAGAGTTCCAGGTGGAAACCCCAGATCCCAAGCTCAAGACAGGGGGACCCCACAGAAAGCTGAGGAGCGTAGGCAGAAACGACATCATACCCACGCCGCATGCGCGACACACACGGGACTAACTGCTCAACCTGGGACACAGCCCAGGGGACCGGCCACCGTGCCCCACACCCACCCTGGGGTTAGCCCGACTCTCAGCTAAAACCCTCAGAGCCCCCCTGCTGGACTCCAGCTAGTACGAGCCCACGAGATACTGGTTCCTTGGCAGGGTGGCCTGAAAGGGCAGCACAGGGCCAGGAGCCAACCCACTGGAAGACGCTAGAAACACATCCAATAACGGGCTGTCCTGATGCGCCAGCCCTGGGGTGCTATGACCCCCATCTGCCACCCTCAGGAGACGGGAGGAGCCCGAGGCAGACCCGGGACACCCAGGAGTTTGTGTGCCCACTGTGTGCGGGTAGTGACAGCACAGCTGTAGGGCGTCCCCTCCCAAGCGACTCTGCGACCCTGCGAGTGACTGGGTGAAAAACAGCGCAACTGGGCTACCTGGGACACCTCCTGGGCTGAGGCTGAGGCCTGCCTCGATCTACTGCCCCACCCGCACCCCTGCTCCGCCCGCACCCGACTCCCCCGGCTGCAGAGCGGAGCCTGGCTGACCACTTGGTCCTGGTTGGCACACCTGCGTGGGACAGCATCTGCTGCCCCACGGCCAACGCCTAGGCACAAAGGTGTCCTTGAGAACCGTAGCACCCCCAGAGCCCGGGCTCACACACAGGGAGGGGACAGCTGCGGACAGGCACGAGGTTGAGCACCGCCACCCAGCCTTGGGGTCGCCCCAAGGCTACCCAGGCGTCGCAGTAGTCATGACAACCAGCCCTGCGGAAGTCCCAGGTGAAAGGAAGGCGGCCAGCCTGCACGTGGGCCGACTGCAAAGGCCAGCCCGGAGCTGCTCTGCCTGACGGGACGCCAAACAGAGGCACCCGCACACCCTTGCCAGGCTGCGCCCCAACTTCAGGGGGCCTGGAGGACTGCCCACGTGACACCATCTTCTGAGAAAGGCCAGCCACCACCCTGTTCCCAGCCCCAGACACAGCAGCCCTGCCAGCCGCTCTGCCAACAGTGCGCCGAGGCTGCGGTGCTGACCCGCACCTGCACCAGGCTCCTCCACCTCCAGGACCGGGGCTGGACATGCTCTCTCGCACCTCCAGGACGGAGAAGTCCCGCAGCGCAGGGGCACCGACCCCTCCAGTGGGCAGGCACCCAGAGCTGCCAGAGCGCCATGAGGAAGGCCCCCACTTCTGTCAGGGCTCCCCGCCTCGCCTCACCTGGCAAGCCCCTCGTGGGTGACCCTACCTCACTGTCCCC